ATAGGTGATTATTCAAATTTTTGCCATCGGTAGGTTTTGAACTTACAACCTACCACTTGGGGGGTTGACAACTTATCCACTTCACTAAGTCACCACACCCATAGATAAATAAATCAAATAATAAAATATGTAGAAAAATATATAAACAACTAGACTGTCAAAATCATTAAAAGAAAAAGATACTAAAGATATATTATATCAAATTATTTAAATTGAAAGTTTGAAAAATCTTTTTAGTTCTTAATTATGACTAATAAAAAATAATAGAAAAGACATCAAAAAGATAGATACTGGGATTTAAATAAACCTTACAAAAGTACAATGATTTAATAGTCAGTTCTAATGACAAATAATAGTTTAGACCAAAATAATATCAGATCAACTATAAGTATGAGATAAAGAAGGTTTTAATCAGTTTAACACAAAGTTAAATATAAATTAATGATTATAACATATTTTTACTGGTTTATTAGAGTTATTGATAAAATATAATGAATACAGTATCAAAATGTTTAAATAAAAGATCTACAGATAGATCTTAGATATAGCAACTAGTATAAAACCTTTAAACAGACTACTTAAATTAGACAATGACTAAAGTTGTATGAATGATTAGTTGTACATTCTTTTTATGATTGCCTCTATGCCTGTTATGTCAACAGATGCTAACCAATATATACTATTAATAAAGTTCTGAGTCACATATACTCATCTTAATATCAAAAAAAAAAAAATCTTATAACTTAACTATCTCAACTAATAATTACTATAACACAAATAATTTTTCAAATTTTCATTTTTAGTAGGTTTTAAACCCTTAACCTATTATTTGAAAGAATGGCAACTTATTTATTTCGATAAATTAACACACCTTTTTGTTAAGCTTATTGATCAACCCGGATCATGTTTTTTTGAACTTAATTATTACTGTAGATCTGCGATTTCTAATCAAAATTAATTTTTTAACTTTTTTCATTCCAATAATAGTAATTTTTAAATAAATAAGCTTGCACAATAGTAAAATTAACCCAGAAACAATTTTTACTTAATGCACTGAAAAATACAAAGTTTTTTGGTGTTTTTTTTAGCATTTTTTAGGGTTAGAATTAGGGTTTATTGATAGAATTTATAATAAACAAGTATAAGCGAGTTTTAGATCAAATAGAAGCCTTTCATTTCATTTAGGTGGATTTGTAATGGCATAAACGATCCTCAGTCAATAATCTCTGAGCAAAATAAATCCAATAAAATCAAGAATACTGGAATATCAAGCACATAATCATTAGATTATGAAATTTTCTTCAAATTCTCCGATATCTTATAATCTACGGAGCTCTAAATTGCTCGGATCGAGAATCGTTTCTGCCACTAATAATCCACCTTTCATTTTAATCTGATCTCATTATAATCCGCGACAATAATTAGTCACCATACTTTAGAGCAATAACTTGGACTACAGTAAATAGCAGAGTATATACTGTATCTAATTGGATAAAGAAAATCCCGAGTTTAATACATTTGTAATAATTTTGTAATAATGTAATATCTTATTAAAAACCCTAGTAAAAAATGTACTGGCCAAGAATACCAATTTTTTTAAAAAACAATACAGTTCAATGCGTTGCTATAAAAGAAAATATTTTTATTTAAATAAGGTGACTTGAAATTCCAGTGATTTTTGTCCATTATGGTTTATTATCGGCAAATTTAAGTTGGCTTAACTGTATCAGTATCCAAATTATTGACCTGACTTTTTAACTGACTACAATCATTATCAATAATTAACATATTATAATTTTGATTAAGATATATTATGTATGACTGCCGTGCATTTGACGATGAGTTAACATCATCAAACTTTCTGGGCAAATAAGCTATAGCATTGATTGTATCTTTTATGGTGTGAACCATTACTGGTATAGCAGTTTGCGGCTCAAAAACAAAAAGGCGACACTCTGAAACAAAAATGATTTAAAGTTAAAAATAACTGGATTATATTTAAAAAAAACTAACAATAAGTAATACCTTGCAATCTCTTGCAATTGCTCACAACGATAAAACGGGAACTTTTAGGATCTATGGCTAAATGATGTACTTCAATCTTATGACTCCACCAGACTCAAATACATGAGATTAACAAAATTACGTTATTAATTATAATTTTCTCTACTGACAAGTTATAATAGTTCAGGTAATTGTACTTACTTGTACATGTAAGTAAATTCCATGCGTACAAATAATTTTGCGTTGTAACAACAAGAAACGGCGAATTATTCGTAAACGCCAAGTGCTTAATATGCTCATAATTTGGTATAAGAGTTAAAACATCCCGAAGAACATTGGATTGAGAATCCCATAGAGTTATGACGGAACCATATGCAATTGAAAGTATAGATCCATCTTGTGAAAATGCTGCTGCGTGTGGAGTATATTGTCGATAAGAACCAACAAATTTACATATCCACGATGTCGTATCTAAAAAAAATAATCAATAAAATACGTATATTTATGAAATAAAGTAATGAATTCTTCCTACCCTTAGGCACCTGTGACATATGTGACTCAGAATTGATCTTCCACACCTTGAATTTATTATCTAAACCTGTAGTGACAAAGCTTATGGAAGTATCATTTGTACCAGGATGAAAATTTAACGATACGACTGCTTTAGAATGAGGATTGTCGACACGCGTATTAAGAACGTATGTCTGTGAATTAGGATCGAATTGCCAAAACTTTAAATATAACTCTGGAGTTGTTTCACCGTCTTGTCGAGAATCGACCTATATCGGTTGATTGAATCAACAAACAAATTAAAGTTGCATTCAAGCAATATCTTCAGAAAATTTACCGTGACCATCCAATCACCGTTTGATGAAAATGCCACGTGTATCACATTGGGATAAACAATGTCTTTTTCGAACGCTCTTGATATCATAGTCCGTCGAGATACCTCATGTTCCATTACATGCCGATCCGCATAAGGGTTATAGAATTGTATGGTTCCTGGGAGACCATTAAGGACTACAAAATGATTTCGCGGCTCAATAACAAGACCAGTCGATAATGGATATACGGAGGCATCAATTTGCGCTAAACCAATGAACTGCAATCAATGAAAAACTTCCAAATGACGATGCAAAATCAGGTTGTGTACATGAAAATATTGTATTCTTACCATGTTTTAATCCTTGGATGACCTGTTTTATTTCTAAATTCACCGCAGATAATATCTTTATAGAATTATCCAATAAATTGATAGCGTATAAGGCTTGATCAGGGCTTATTGTGATTGATTGAATCTCAGACCCAAGGCGAGGAAGAAATTGCGTGTGACCTGTTTCAATCTGCCATATCACAAGAACTGATTCTTCACCACCAGAAAGGAGATATGTACCTAGATAATAATATATACGACGCAGCCATGAGAATAGAATAAAATTGTAATACATTACTTTAAACAGACACATTAAACGTTTTACCATCACGTGTAAACACGAGGGAGTTAACCTTGTGAGGATGCCAGTGGACCGACGATTTTATGGGATCTTGAATTTGTGATTCCTTAAGACAATACCTATATTTTTGACAGTTAAATTTTAAAATACAAAACTTGATAATTATTTCTCAGAATTGTAATGTAATTTTTGCATACAAATGAGTAATTTTCCCATATTCATCCCCGATCGATATATAAGGCTTCGATGGATGAATCGTAATGCTTGTTATATTTGATGAATGCGTATATCTTTCACAAAAACAAACAAGGTATAAGCAATCAATTATAAATGAAAAAAAATTGGGTCAAACATATGTAATCTAGATGTTTACTTGGGCCATTTTTGTCCTTTTTGTTGACTTAACTTTATTTTAATTATTCGAATTGTCCGAAGGAAACTGACAACCAAAAACTCGCCATCAGAGCTCGTATCTAATCCAGTGCACATAAACTTTGATTTACACAAAAGATGCATTTCAACCTGATCTTTTGTGTCAAATCGAAAGTAAAGTAAGGCTTGTGCTTTTTGTTTTCCACGAGAACTAACTGCATACAATATGGAAACAAAGTGAAAGAATATGTTGTTTTTTCTAAGTGCACTAAGTATAGTGAATACAAGTATTTATACAAACCATTCTTGCAAGGTATCCCAGTAACAACAAAAAATTGATCAGGGTAAGAAGCTAGGATAGCCATACGATATATTGGTATCCCAAATTCGTATGTCTGTCAAATAAAGAACAATAATAAGAATAAAATATCTAACTTACATTAAATCTATTAGTAAATGAATAATACCTTTAACAGTTCCACATCTGTGTATTTCCATACTTTAATCGTACCATCCAAGGAACCAGAAAACAACTAAGATGAATGATTTAAAAGAATGTTTAATAAATAATTTACATCATAAAATACTATCATATTTACCTGTGATGGATCATTTGGATTTAACATCATGCACGTAATTTCATCATTATGGCAGTTTCCGAATGAATCGGAAATTGATTTAACAACCTCACCAGTCGTCACACTAATTATCTTGATTTTATTTGAGCAAGGGCAGAAGATGTATCTATAATAATTTAAAGTGTGATAAGTAAGTTGGGATCTGTAAAAAAATGCGAGCACACAATCTCACACACCGATAAAGAAAAAACGATGCCATGTTTAAATTTTCAGTCGATTTACATAGAAATGTGCACAATACCAAGTAATCATTACGTGTAATTTTTAACTATCGCAATTAAATGAATAATTCTTTCGTATACTCGTCAATGATATTAAAGAACACCACTGTTTGGGCACTCACTTGGAATCTGATGAAAAAGCAATAGGACGGTTACTCGAGCACCTATACATGGGTGTCGAAAATATTTTGCTCTTGGTGTAAATTTAACAAAATTGTAAATTTTTTAACTACTCTCGAAAGATTTTGCAGATCAGCCAATCAGATTGAAAGATCATTTTTTCAAAAACACCTGATCTTACAATCTGATTGGCTGCGCGGATCGTATATGAGCAAATCCAATCGAGGGTCCAGTCACGTGATATTCCGACCTCCTGATCTCATTTATCTATGCAACATTGTAGTAATAAAAACTTTTAAAGTTTTACTACAAAAACTGATAATTCATTCTAGAAAGCTAACTATATACTTCATTTTCTAGAAATTCAAGAAAACTTAACTTACTCACATTATAACGAAATCCTCAAGCTGGGGAACAAAATCTTTACTGTAACTTACTTTATATCTAGTTGAAATTTAATAATTCTATAATTCGAAGCTATTTATTATGTCAAGAGTTCACTATAACAAGAATAATCTGTATTTTGGCGGACTGGTTCTTTTTGTTATTTAACTCGTGAGTATATATCAAAATTCTACAATCTTTTATAGCCTCGATCGAATTATTTATTTATTTGTGTCAATTTGGTTCATGAAAACAGATTCGTTTATAAACCCGAAGCTTACTACAGTATAACGAACGTGAAATTTTAAATTTATCATACCTGCTGATCGGCGTAGTACCCTAAATTTAGATAGTATAAATTAGTACCCTAAATTTAGATAATATAAATTAGTACCCTAAAATTATAAATATGAACGAATAACGGATGAATAAACTAGCCAATGAACCAACAATCCGTCAAACAAAACCAATAATAGTATGTTTGTTAAACGAAATACAATTTTTGCTGGCGAAAACTTGGGTATGTATAAGATCTAATATTAACGTTCTAGGTATGTATTCTCTTTTCTTTTCCGCTACTGGCTTGTCTTTCACAGATCCTCACCTTTACTTTTTGCTAGATTGCTTCTTGAAGGTTTTTCAGTGCTTCGAGCTTTTGGGTAAGTACTGTCTTTCTATTTTCTGTTTCTTTTAGTGTTTTGTTTCTAGACTCTAACATCCCTTTCCTAATATTGACCTTTGATTCTTGAGGAAATTTGTTTTTCTAGATCTTATGAATCTTTTATAGATTTCAAAACTAAGTGTTTGTCTTTTTTTTCGTGGGTTACATACAAGTTTTTAGTCCTATCCATATTACTAAAACTTTATTTTTTTTATAGACTGTAATGTTCTCGGTTTTTTTTTTTTGAGTAATGTTAGAGGATTTAGGAAAGAATGTAATTCAGAAGACTGGTTAGACATTAGTGCCAGTTCTTTTTATTTAGTTTTGACCTTACTCTTATTTTTGCCTTGCTTCTTTGAGTTTGGAAAATTGGTACTAGACTTGAAGTTAGGTTGGGTACAACATGGTAAGTATTTGTTGTGTTGCTTCTACTTGTATTTATTAGTATAGTTACTAATGACATTTTTTATTTATATATAGTGATGATTTTAGAATAGAATGTAAACTAAGACATTAAGGTAAGCATTATCTTATTCATTTTTATTCTTTATTTAATTTTCATTTTTTGGTAGGTTTTTACAATGCAGTGTTGGTTAAGATTTTTAGCAAATGGAATTAAAGCATAAGATACAGAGCAAGTGTTATTTTAATTTGTTCTGTTTTTTGATTAGTATTAATACATTCTTTTTTCATTTTAATGGTATATATACTTTTATTCTTGGCATAAACTGAAATTTGAAATACAAAACAGGTATAATATAACAGATAAGTATTCTTGTTTTACAGATTTGTAAGGTTATGTTTTTATTATTATAGCATAATGATATATTAATAAATAATAAATTTTAGTTTATTGGAAAGTATCTAAGATTAATTATTTATTATAGGATTGTTAAAAGTTTAATTCTATTAGTTCAGTTTTATAAATAAAAATTTTTGTTAAAACATTGCTTAGATAATATTATAATATAGCTATAATATATATTTTTTTATGTTTAATTAATTTTTAAACAAGATGTAGATCCCATAGCTTAGCAGTTAAGTTTTTATACTCTTTATAGTTAAGATTAATGGTTCAAGTTTGACTAAAGGCAAATTAAAAGATTTTAGTTTCTATAACCTAATAAAGAAACTTGTAATTGAATGTAAAGTTTTGTGATTAAGTTCAAATACAGTACAATGATAGAAATAGAAATTTCTGAAAGAAGATTCAATCATGAAATGCAGGTATTATACATAACAAGCAGTTGTTACAAAAGGTTATATTTATAAAAAGATTGCATATGTACGTTTTTTAGATTAGGATAGCATTAATTTTCTTATATCTTCTAATATAAGCAGTATCAACATTCTTGCATCTAACTTGTAGAGTATTTGCTTAGAAGAATAATCAATAGATTGTGTGAACAAGTTCTAATTGGAACCCAAGAAGAGGATTTGATTGGAAGAGTAATCTAAAAGTAACCAGATTAAAATAATAAAAGAAATAATAAATATGAGGATGAGCTGTAATAAAAAATTGGTCTAACCAAAATTGAAAGCATCTTTGATATAATTGAATAATCTAATTATAAAAATAAAAATCTTGAAAGTTGGCATATAACTTTATTATACAATATAAAGTTATCAAATCAAGTTTTGATTGTATTTATATAGAAGTTTATAACAAACAAAACTAGGATCAATCAATCAATATGAGATAAGATTTGCAAAATAGTACAGCATTACTGAGATCAGTATAATTCTTTAGACATAACTAGAATTGTCTTACAGATATTATTGAATAAGCTAGAAGCTTGCAATATATAATAGTATAATATTATTAAAGTCAGAAGAATTCCTTAGGTATAATTAGAATTGTCATATTTGTAAATGCAACAAGTTTTAGTCTTTATCATAAAAGAAAGCATCATATTAGAGATTAAATGCAGTACTGAGTTACTACATAATATTAAAACTAGAGCTGCAAACATTTAGAAGGTCTAAGGTAGTATATCACTTTTTATATCATATAAAATTTATATATAATCATATTAAATGTCACATCACATATATCATATCAAATGTTATAGTATATATTCATTGATATTTTAATGTTTGTAGTTCTAGTTAAGACCTGAAACATCTGCAGAAATAGCAGTAGCAGATCTGGCTTGAGATACAGATTGGTTAAAAAAACCAATGACAGTAGTAGATTTGGCTTGAGATACAAGTTCATTACAGATTTTGAACCATTGTCAAAACATCTTAGAGGAATCAATAACAGACATACCAAAAATAGAAAATCATAAAGATTGGATATACTTAATTAGGACCAATTTTGGTAGTAATATAGTAACAAAAAGATGAGAAATATAGAGAACAAGTGAATACTAGATATAGTTAGATTAGGAAGAAAAAGAAACAAGATCAAGTAAAACATATGTATAAAACACATGAATATGATTTACAGAAGACAGTACCTTTATTATTTAAAATGTTGTATTAAGTTCAGTAAGTATCTTTATCTATATAATAATTTAAGATATGCTCTAACTGCAAGTAGTTGTTAAGATAATTGCATGCAGTTATGTAACAGACATGCACTTAGGTGCCAAAAGAGTAACTAGGTGAAGTCAATAATGTAAAATTAGATAGTATATAATACTAGTAATAATTATTTCTAAAAATATAACTATAAATTTGTATTATATCAAATTAAAGCTAATAAACTAACTGGCATTGTCATTAAAGTTAAAAAAAAAAATTTCTTAAACTAAGTTTATGCATATGAATATTAGTAAGAAAAAATTTTAAATTAGCAATTATAGTTTATTGTTCAATAAACTTTAAATAAAGATATCTTAATAACTAGTTAAGTAAATATAAATTTGATAAATTTTTTTGATTCTAAGATTTTTAGAATTAAAATAAAAAAATTTACTTGGCTAGCTACTGAGATATTTTTGTTTAAAGTCTGTTATATAATAAACTATAATTACTAGTTTAATAGTTTCTCTTGCTAACATTCATATGATATTACATAATTTTTTTTATATATAAACAATTAGTAAATTAATTTAAATCTACCTGGTTTAAATGATTTACTAATCAGAAAATAAAACAAATAACATGCAGAAACAAGTATTCTTATATTTAAATTTTGTCTAAATAAAAGTACTTTTAAACATAAAATATGAACTTTTTTTTATTGTTTTAGCATTATTATAAAATGTCTCATAGATTATTTATTAGAGTTTTATAGTTTGTTTTATAAATTGTCATGTTGCAAAAATAATTATTATATATATACTGATTTATAAATTTTAACTATAAAAACTACTTAATTATTATTTTTTTATTGGATTTCTTTTTTGAATTATATCACTTATTTTGCAGCATTGATTTCTAGTATTTGCATATAATTGCAATTGCTTTTCATACATCATAAGACAAACCATGAGCTATTTATAAGATGTTTTACTAACAATAGTTAAACAATAAATAACTATTCAGAGAAAGTTTAAATTTTCTGTTTTAAACTTAGAATTAGTTTTATTTGAAATTAACTCAAAAATTAGATTAGATAAGCTTTTTAACAATCTAAAAACTATGAGCATTAGGCAACAATTTTATTTTAATTATTATTACTACTATATAAAATATTTTAATTTATTGTAAAAAAAAAGTTGTAATATATAAATATATTATATAATTTAAATGTTATGCAAGTGTTATACTGAAATATGAATCTATAAACAAGAAACATAGAATTTATTTAGTAATAAATAATTTGCATAAATACAAATTTATTTACATTCTAACTTATAATTA